TAACAACATGCTAGTAACTTGCTAATCATGCTAGGAACATGTTAACAAAATGCTAGTAACTTGCTAATAATGCTAACAACATGCTAGTAACATGTTAATCATGCAAGAAACATGCAAGTAACTTGATAATCATGCTAAAAAAAATTTAACACCAGGCTAGTAACATGTTAATCATAAGGCTAACAACATGCTAGTAACATGTTAATCATGTTAGAAACATGCTAGTAACTTGCTAATCATGCTAACAAAATGTTAACACCATGTTAGTAACATGCTAATCATGCTAAAATCATGCTAGTAACATGCTAATCATGCTAACAACATGCTAACCATGTTAGAAACATGCTAGTAACATGCTAACCAAACGATTTTTAATAGTTTTAGTTTAGTTACTGACTGTAAATATTTATATTTAGCTTTAATTCATTTTTATTTCAGTTTAGTTTGAGTAATTTCGCGCTGTCGCACCTCTTGACTTCATAGAGCGTGTGCGACGCGCGCGTGAACGTTTGTAGTCCGCGCTCCTGTGCCAGCGCTTGTATTTCCCGCTCCATGCGCGCGTAATACGGCTCCACCTCCGTGTCGTAGCTGATCTGCGTGACGCCCCACCGGGTCACGAGGTCGCGCAGCACCGCCGCCGTCGCCCCGTGCAGGACGTAGAGCCGCGAGCCCAGCGCCCGCAGACGAGTGTCCAGATCCTCCAGACTCTGCAGGATGAAGCGCCAGCGTAACGCGCCCAAGCACATCGCCCCCTCCAGGAATGCGCAGTCCAAGACGTAGACGGGGAAGAGCGAGGCGGAGCACGCCAGCGCCCCCAGCAGGGTGGGGTTATCATGCAGCCGCAGGCCCTTACGGAACAGATGGATGGTGCGGTGACTCATGACGACTGACTCACGATCCGAACACTTTAGAGAGTCTGAAACAAATCATGGAACAAACTTTATTCATACAGCTCTTGACCATCATATGATAAGGTCCAATAGAGCTTATTAACATAGTAAAAGTAAAATAACATGGCATTACCTTCATGATAAGGTCCACAACATGGCATTATCATGGTAAATGTCAAATATATACAGTGCTGCTTGAAAGTTTGTGAACCCTTTAGAATTTTCTGTATTTCTGCATAAATATGAACCAAAAGATCATCAGATTTTCCTGAAAGTTGACTCCAATCAAACAAATGAGACAAAAATATATAATTTATCATTTATTTATTCTGGAAAATGATCCAGTGTTAAATATCTGTGAGTGACAAAAGTATGTGAAGCTTTGCTCTCTTTTGCAGCAATAACTGTGGCTAAACGTTTCTGATCAGTCCTGCACAACGACTTGTAGGAGTTTTA